TATATAATAATTATATTATTAACATTAATATTTTATTTTTTATTAAAAAATTAATACTTATTTTTTATGTTCGCAGGCAAATTTGCCTGCGTTATAGATGAAAAGATAATAATTACTTACAAAGTATTAAGAATATCATCTGTGACCTTTACAAGCTTATTGTGTATTTCTTTTCAAGTATTATTATATTTGAACTTTTCTAATAAACTAACTAAACTTTTCATATAAAATTTTTTACAAACTTGTTACATTTTTCTTTAATTATATCAGATATATTCGTTTGTATATTTTGAACTGATTTTATAAAAGACTGTTATACATATATATTTAAATTTTTCACTATAACTGAATCATCATTAATTATCTGATTAGCGATTGGGTTTCACTATATTAAGTCAGAAATTGATATCTTTTAAATTTTGATATATTTTTCTAATATAAACATACTTGCTTTTCTAAAAAAATGAAATAATATTATATATAAGATAATACTAGGATAAAATTATTTAAATGAAAAAATTGCTGAGTTCAGTCAGAGTATTACAAGTTTCTTTTTTAAGTTTTTCATATTTTTCTTGATTTTATCATTAGTACGAGGTTTAACCACCATTTCTATATCACAAAAACTGTAAACGCCTTTAAATCAGAATTTCTCTATACTTGTAATGTATTTTTATTAAATTCTATAAAGCACTATTGAAGTACAAATGTACAAATGCGTTGAGATGTGCTTGTTCAATTGTTGAAATATTTAGAAGAGGATTTTGAGCTTTAAGAGAGAATGCTTTTACGCTACTCAAAAGAAAAAATTATTAGAACTAAATTTGAAAAAAAAATAAATATGATGATAATAACTACATACAATTGTGATAATATGCGATATAAGATTTGTATTAATGCAGTCATCAAAGGATCATTCTCTCTAAAGATTGTAGATCATCAAATTTACTTTGCCACTCTGTATCAGAAATATTTTGTGAAAAAAATTTTAATAGGAAACGATGTACATTATCAGGAATCAATGATTCTGTTATTATATCTATCTCTAATAAGTATGACTCTGTTATTGATCTTGAAAGCCTTCTGAAAAGGATGAACATAAACAAAAGTCAATTATATCACCATTAGGATATTGTTTTATATATACTAAACAAAGAGTTTTCGATGATTTTGAACATTCAACAGCTTTTTCTAAGAAGTCTGTTATTATCTGCATGGCGAAAAAAAGTTAATAACGTTACAAGTGCATTTTTATTTGAATTATTATTATTGTTACAAGTTGTATACCTCGTCAGCTTCTTCAATTTCATTATCACCTTCGATCTTCTCATTATCAGTGTTGCTAATTAAGCTTTCATTCTATGCCAGCAAAAAATAATGTTATTTCATGAAGATAAGTCAATAAAATGACTAAAATACCTTTTTCCTATTAATAGCTCTATTCTTATCTTCATAATCTCCTAGTTTTCCTGAAAAACTTCGTTGATTTGATATAGAAGATGATACTGATGAAGTCACAGCATTAAGTCTTTTATCTAACTTTTCATGAAATGTGACATGTGTTTTATATTTCCTTTTTTTTACTTTTCTTTATTATTCGATATTAGCTTTATAAGTACTCAACTTAGTTTTTTAAGCTTAAATAAAAAATTAACATACATCAGCTTTTCATTTCTCTTTTTCATCCTTATAATAATTTCAGTTATTCTTATACTTGTTAGCTTTCCATTTCCTTTTAATCCTAATAGTTTTTCTGATTTTGGAATGTCTTATAAAGATTCAATCAATTGTAAACCATAATCTTGAATATCTAATTTTTTACTACAATATTTGAACTTCATGAAGAAGTTCGCTGGGTGAGGAACTTTACTATTTCTCAAGAAATTTCTTTGTTCTTCGCGAACCTCATCTATTTTCATTTTCAGTAGAACAATAAACACTAGAACAATGAGAACTGTTGTTAAATCCAGAGTAAAATTCTCAGACATGCTGTTTAGATGTACACTCACCTAGCAAAAATGATTGACTTTACCAAAATCAGAATAATAATACATACATTAGCGTCATAAGAAAAAAATTTTTTTTATTAATTAAATTGAC